GAGGAAGAAGAAGGGAAAAAAGAGGGGGAGGAAGAAGAGAAGAGGGAAGTAGAGGAGAAGAAGGAAAGGAGGAAGGGAAAGAAGAGGAAGAAGGAAGAAGAAGAAGGAGAGGAGGAAGGGAAAGAAGAGGAAGAGGAGGAGAAAGAAGAAGAAGGAAGAGGGAGAAGAAGAGGAGAAAAAGGAGAGGAGGAGGAAGAACAGGGAGAGCAGCAGGAGGAAGAGAAGAAGGAAGAGGAGGAGGAAGAAGAGAAGAAGAGGAAGAGAAGGAAGAGGAAGAAGAAGAAGAGAAGGAGAGGAGGAAGGGAAAGAAAAAGAGGAGGAAAAACGGAGAGGAGGAGGAGGAGAAGGAAGATGAGAAAGGGAAAGAAGAAAAGGAGGAAGAACAGGGAGAGCAGCAGGAGGAAGAAGAGAAGAAGGAAGAGGAGAAAGAAGAAGAAGAAGAGGAGGAAAAACAGGAAGAAAAAGAAGAGGAAAAGTAGGAAGAGGAAGGAAGAGAAGAAAGAAAGGAAAAGAAGGAAGAGGAGGAAAAGGAGGAGGAAGGGGAAGAGGAAGAGAGGGAAGGGGAAGGGCGTCCTTTCCGTCCCACCGGGAGCCGCTTACCGCTTGCAGGGTGTCGGTGAGCTCCCTTCTCCGGTTGCGGCATTTAGCGGCTGCCATCTTGTTCCTCTCCCGCCGGATTCGCCTCTTCTCTTCCTCTTCTGGCGTCAGCTGGAGGGACAGAAAGGGAAGAAAAGGTCAGCCTCGGTCCTCAGCCTCCGGCGCCTCGGGTAGCCCTGCGTCTAGACTGCAGAATTAATGCAGTTGGAGCCCGCTTTCACTGCTAGGAATGAATGAACGAATGAATGAGGGCCTCATTATTGACTGAGCCCACAGACCATTTCAAATGCTGTGCCATTCTAGCCACCTGTCCTTTGGAGAGACATCTCGCCTCCATCTCTGCCAGAGAGCCCTGCTGCCCCAGCAAAAGGCCAGATCCCAGGATGCCCTGGCAGCTTAACGCGGGCTCAAACTGCATTAGTTCTCCAGTGTGGCGAAACAGCCGGACTCCTCTACGGATCTCGAGTTACTCCTTGGCTTCCAAAAAGCATCCGAGGGTTTATTTATTGAACTTCTATGCCGCCTTTCTCCCAGAAAGGGACCCAAGGCGGCTCACAAATACAGACCTCTTTAAAAATTATTGCAACAGAGCCATGAAAGCGTCCCATAAGATCAATCTAAAGGGCCTTTGCAGACTGCCAGAAATAGTGCAAATTGAGTCCA